CATTTTATGCGCCTGCTGCTGATGAGCTGATTAACACTGATTGTTAGTGGCAGGTTGAAAAGACTCAATCCTCAAGCTGGAGAATGCAAAACCAGGAACATGGGAGTAGAGGAAAAAACAGTAGGATGGTGTCGAGTGTTTTCCTGCTTATAATAAAAGCACTTTGCAAGCTGGTACAATATCTGCAGGTTTGTTGTGTTTAGATGTATTTGTGTCAAATATTCTTTCAATCTGAGGCTTTTTCTCCATTTTACATCATCGTAAAAATGAACAAGAGGCAATTTGAATATGCTACTTTGGGATTTAAGAAGTTGCGCCTGGAGATTTCCCAGACTAAATCATTACTGGAAAAAATGACAGCCTATCTGTTGTGTTTTTTTTGCATTCAGTGTAAGAATAAAATGCCTGCCGTCCCTAAAGAAAAGAAAAAAAAGGCCCAGTGTGCGTCTGTAGGCACATGAAAAAAGCAAATCACTGGTGGTGAGATCACCGCTCGGGAGGCGGTGGAGTGCTCCATTTGCATATTGAAAAGACACATACCCAAACACTGAAAGACAGCCAATTTTCTTTCCGTTAAAAGCAGCGGACAGGTGAAAGAAGACCTCACCCCGTCACAAATGGACCTCCAGGAAAAGGAAAAAAAAAAAGAAAAATCCCCGCCCTATAATGTTTCTTTTCAGAGACGATGGAAATCCCTCAGATTTTACCCCCCACCAAAAAGAAAAAAAAAAAAAAACTCAAACTGAAAACCGGTCCTGTACTTTGCGGATCTTGAATAGAGTGCCCTGCTGCCTGCCTGCCCCACATACGGTGGCTGAATACAAAAGACCCCCTTCTGTAAGAGCCACCGCGACGGGAGGCCACTCTATCTGCACTGCCGCAGCGACGGGCCTCAATGAAGCCATCAGCGCCCGCTCGGTTCCTCACACATGTGCACACGCTTGCAGGAAGAAAAAAAAAAAACACAAACACGGACACGTTGCATGTAGCCATTTACTCCTTGGTGCACACCGACCCGTTCCTCGAACCCCCTCATGGATAATGCATTCTTTTCATCCTCCCGGTTACTGGGCAGGAGGCAGCGAGGGAGATGGGGTGGATGGCGCCGATTTGAATATTTAAATTATTTATCACCGCTGAGGATTGAGACCTGGGACATGCAAAAGGGACGCGAGGGAGGGCGAAGTAAGTCATGTTTGGGTTTGATAGCGAGCTGACTGGATGCCTCGGAGGGGGGGAGGTGCGGGAACGTGACCACGTTGGCAGATTTTGACGGACTGCTTCTGTAATGAGACTTTTAGGTGATTTTTTTTTTTTTTTCAGGGGGAATAAATCATCGAGCTGTTAGACTGTCTACCCAGCATTAATAAAACTTTCAGTGTTGATAATCTTTCCATTTCATTCTGTTTATTGTTCTTGTATCCGCGAGTCCTCTGCGCCGTAGCGCGACTGTAAAAGATCATTTGTAAGTAATGGCTCACCGTGGAGCTACAGTAAGAAAAGGAAGTGTGCACTCAGTGATGTAATGCAGTCCCTCTCTGGCCTACTGTAACCGAGAGCCTGAGAAACACACACTTGCAGAACAATCCTGGGAAACGCAGGAATTTACTACTCACGCGATGACAAGGGCTTTAGGGCCTGCAGGAAAAAAACATTTAAATTAATTCTTGGAGCGGTTGTTGCTTTCACACCGGACCTGCGGGCTAATGTGCAATTTTCTACCATTGGATTTTTTCCTGCTTTTAACCGTCTTTCATCTTGTCTGCTTTCCCCAACTTGCAGCTCCATCTCCCTCTCCCTCTCTCCCTTCCTTCTCTTTATGCTCCCAGCTCTTAGTTACAGTCTCCAGACAAAGGAAGTCCCCAACTGGCCCCCTTTTTGCTGTCCTTTTCCCTCTCTGCTGCGCCGTGCACAAACACAGAAACGTTGCTCGTGATAATCAAACCCTGAAAGAGGGAGAGAGAGAGAGAGAGAGAGGGGCTGTCACTGGGTGTGATCGAATCCTGGAAACCCCAAAAGTTCAGGTTTCATGTTGCAGTATGCAAATAAAACATGTAATTAAAAAAGCAGCGTGTTGTCCTCTGAGGATTGGACAAGCTGTTAGGACTCATTGTCTTCTCCTTCTCTCAGCTGCTTTTAATTGGCAGTCGGCACGCAGATCAGTAGCTTTCTTTTCATTCTCTGTACGCTATGAATTATACACATTATTTCCTCTTATGGTCCGTTCCTACAGCGTGCTGCAGCTTTCTTGCGCTGTAGCGTGATCTATAGTGAGATTCCCCTTTGTTTGCACCTTGTAGGTGCTCATTAAGCTGCATTATCAAGAGCGTGCACAGCCCTTAGTGATGCTTGACATTGCATCAAATTACTGTCTCTCTGTCTGACTGTGCAGCCTATTAAAGTTTATTAAGCCTTCTTTATTTAGTTTGTTGGAATAAGTTTGCACTTGTAGCACAACAAGCTTCGTTAATCTACAGAGATGCTGTGAGCTCTGCCGTAGGTCTAATCCTCCCATTCTGCTCGGTCTCTCTGATGCAGGAAAGCACGTAAGACTGCAGGCACCTTTTTACCATAATGCATTTGATATTCCTCGTAGCTCTCCATTATAAAAAGTGTTCCTCTCGACTGAAGGAGGCGGCTCGCGAAAGGTCCAATTTGTGCAGAAGAAGAGTCAAATGATGCGTCAAATGCGCCGTTTTATGGGAGCCTGATGTAGTAAAACCTGGTTAACAAAAAAGTTGATGGCCGCTGTCGTTGTTTTAGGTGTTGTTGTGCCGGCTCACAAAGAAAAAGCCTCACGATGTCAAAGCCGCTTCACCTCTCGGAGCAATAAATCTGAATCGAAGGTTTGCAGCGCGAATGTGGCCGCATGCTGCTTTCCCCCCCCAAAAAAGAGGCTTAGTGACACAATACTTCCACTCCTTTTGTCCCACGATGTCAGATAATGTCGAGCAGTGACACCTGTCTGCCAGCATTTTGTGGGAGATTGAAAAAAAAAAAAAAACGAGGCGAATCTTAATTTTGCACGTACATTTTTTGAATGCTACATTAATTTTAAATGATTAGAGTGACGTGGACCTTCAAGGCGATTCGATCAAGCCTGCGTCTGCTTGTCAGGTTCCATTGGCTACAGCTGAGAGGAGCTTTTTTGAAGCCCTGGGTTTCATTCAGCTGCTCAGTGGCATACTTTTCCAGGCATTTTGATCCCTTACTATAGAAAAAGTAGATTTGCGAGTGATTTCAAGCACTCAGTTTGTTCGAACAAGTTTAAAGAAAACACATGCTCTGTTCACTATCAGAAAAAAGAACTCAAAGTTGAACATATTAACAATGTGTGGGAAACACTGCAGACAGCGTTTCCCTCCTACGACCGCCTCCCTTTTGCTTTGTTTTCAGTTTTCTGCCACTTCCAGCAGGCTGTCTCACGTCAGGAAAATGAAACTTGATGATATTTTTATTATTGACACCCCTTGCGTGATATGCGCCGGCTTTATCTTTGATCAAAAACCGCCTTCCTCGAACGAAAACAACAGCGTTTTGTGGGGGAATTCTCCCACACTGCTCGGAGACGTTCCAGTGACCATCCCATCCCATTCATCACTCTAAAATCCCCGCGGTGAGCCTCATTTGTTGCAGTCTGTGAGTGTACACGAACGGAGCTCGTGTCCCCCGGTAATGAGCCGCTAATTATGAGAGTCGGCAGCAGCCTCAGTGGGTGTGAAACCACCTGTCCGTGTGTCCGTGTGTGTGTGTGTGTGTTGGTACCTGTGACATATGTACATGCTGTGTGTGTGGAAGGGAAGCAACAGTGCGCTGACGTCTGGGTGTTTAATCAAAGACTCTGTGGCCTGTTTAGGACATTTGGTGTCCTTGTTTCATTAAATTTCACTTAGCAGTGGATCATCAGCGAGATGGAAAATGTATTATTCCACATTATATATAGACACAATGCTCATGGATGCGTTTTTAAACTGTCCTACTGAAAAGGGTTGCATGTAATTCACTTATATTAAAATTGTGGTGGAAACTCAGAAGTTGCTCAGAGACATTATCAAGGGCTCACACTTACTGAGAAAAGAACAGTACGCTTTTATATTATTGACAAAGTCTAACTTCTGCTTTCAGGCTCCTCCCATCCAGGTTCTTTCAACCAATTAGAGTCCTCCATCTATGATAGTTGATGGTTTGGGCTGTCCAATAGTTTAAGTATCTACTCGTATTTGTGTTTTGCAATCTGACAATATTGAGCTTAAAGCTGCTAGAATCTATTTTTTTATATTGACAGGATGGCTACATGGATATGGAAGGTGTACACAGTGGTGTATAGAACAAAATACAAAACTACAGGGTCCTCAGTAGAGGGATGTAGTTGCCTCTGCTTGCCATGATTGTACTGAGCCCCAGTAAACCATTATTCTGTCCAACTTACCACAAAATAGGGGTTGTCTTCCACTCATCATGGTTGACTGGGTAGTCCAAGGTGAAATGGGCACTATCCACCTATACATTACATGTTATTTAAAATATAATAGCGATATCAACATTTTTGACCTTGATATATCACCCAGTGTTAAACGTTCCATCCCCAGTGGGAAACTTATATATGGCTTCTGAAACAACGTGTCTATCTTGAAGTATCATCCAAGGTCAAATGCAACATCGCCAACAGAAAGCCCCAACATGGTCGCTTACCTGCACCAAATGTCATAAATCTACCGTCCACCTCTTTGAAGGTATACGCCATGTTGGAAAAAGTGACCTTTGACCTTGAGCTTTTTTTGCACCAATTGACCCCAACATCTAATCATTCCTGGGGAGGCCATTCCTAGCTCACCTGTACAATATCAACCTGTTAGACCTCAGCACTCGAGTTAGAGACTGTTCACAGACAAATACGTTTTATAGTTGTCCTCTGGTCAGGGTCAGCTATAATAATACCATCAAGAACACTTGTTTTCTGATGAACTTTGTGGCTTACAATACTTCTTTTGTCCTTCCAGCCGAGCCATCAAGACCAACCAGGACCTCCTCCCTGAGACTCCGTGGACCAACATCCTGTACGACGACTTCTGGGGCACCCTGCTCACCCACAGCGGCAGCCACAAGTCCTTCCGTCCACTCTGCACCCTCTCCTTCCGCCTCAACTACACCCTGCACGCCCTGCGGCCCTGGGGCTACCACCTGCTCAACGTGCTGCTGCACGGCCTGGTCACCGCCCTGGTCACCGCCTTCAGCCGCCCGCTGCTGGGAGGGGGATTGTGGAGCCTGTTGGCGGGCCTCCTTTTTGCTTCCCATCCGGTGCACACTGAAGCAGTGGCCGGCGTGGTGGGGAGGGCGGACGTCGGGGCTGCTTTGTTTTTCTTGCTGTCTCTCCTCTGCTACGTGAGACACTGCGGGCTCCGTAGGGACTCATACTTCCAGGTCAGGAGGTGCGGCGGTGACGGTGATGGCGGCTCGGTCACCAGGTGCTGGGCCTGGATGCTGGGCAGCCTGTGGTGCGCGGCGGCCAGCATGCTGTGGAAGGAGCAGGGCGTGACGGTGCTGGCCGTTTCGGCCGTGTACGACCTCTTCGTGTTCCAGAGACTCCGGTTTCGCCAGGCGCTGCTGCTCCTGTTGGGGAAGGTAAATGAATGCAAGCCGCCGGGGCCTGTGTGTGCGGCTCTTGTCTTGGCATCTCTGCATATCCACTTTCCTCTTCCTTCCCTCAGAGGCAAACCTCAGCCAGCCAGCTGTTAATGGTTCCTGTACGGTGGATTAAGTTTGTGTGTGTACTTAGCCCGCTTTTGTTTGTGTGTAAAGTGTGTGTTTGCTTTGCATTAGCAGCGTAATTAGGAAAGCTGTTTGTTTGTGCAGACTCCACAGTCGGTGCATGAACAATAAACCTTTTCTCATTTGATTCCGCTAAACAGGAAGAAAATGTATGTGGAAGGGGAAATTTTCCACTTCCTCGCAATGCTGCCACCAACTTCAATTTGCTGCAGTAAATAGATACACATTCATGCAAGGAAATCTAAATTGGGATCTCAGCCTCATTACATGTGCATTCAGGGAAGCGGAGGTTGGGCAGGAAAAGCTATTTTGGGGGTGAGTTGTTTTCTCATTTTAAAGGTGGCAAAAGGTATGTGCAGAGGAACAATAACACATTCTAATCAGGTGTGTCATGTGGTTCACTTGTCAAGTGCGCGGTTCAAACGTACATGCTTCCCACGCAGGGACGCTCCGGGGGACTCCATTTTCACCTTCCAAACTAAAAGTTGCTTGACGAGGACGACCTTGACGCAGTGACTCATCTGATTATGAGAAACGGGCTTTGACTGGAAAGGCTCCTCGCTCAGGCACTCCACATTTGATTAGAGAAACTGCTCCTCAGCCAACATGATGGCCCTCGTAAAATGCATAACTAGCGTAATAAAAAGTCCCCTTGGGTTTACTGAGCAAGGACAGTCTGGCTCTGAGTGCGTGAGGCTCTTTTTATAGCGGCTTCTACTTGTGGAAACATCTATAAATACCTCTGTTTGTCGTGTCACCTTGTACGGCGTTTCACAAACTTTCTGTTGTGTTTGAAATCACAGCACATGATAAACTCGAGCGTCTTCTTTACGGCATTCAAATGAAAACACCTGAAAGCGCAAGAGGCTTTACCGTACCTGTGGGGCAGCTTCTCCAGTAGTTGTTTCTGGCAGAATGATAATCCACAACTGTTATTAAAGGGGCTTGCAGTGAGTGGCCCGGAGAGATCAGAAAGGGGAGCAAGAGGGAGTTACAGTATGTTTTCTCTTCTTCTCTGTGCTTGGCAGAAGTGAGTGGAGTGTGTATGCTTTCCAAACCGTTGGACCTTAGCAGATACAAAACAACAGCTGTCTTTCAAATCGTACTCAATCATGTAGGGAAGTATGTTGGAGCAGCTCCGCAGCAGGTAGAAAGGTGTCACTCATTTGCAGATGATGGAGGAGACATGTCTAACTGTAAATGTAAACCAGAGAGAAGGAAGAAATATATGATTCTGCACATTGTGAAGGGGTTTAACTTCTTAATTCCCCCCGAGTAAGGTTTGAGAAATGGTTTTACATACTGTCTGAGAATATTCATACATTTTACCATACCGTCTTCACAACCTGATCAATATTTTGTTTGATCATTGGCAATACTCACATTGCAGGAAGTGTGACGTGCAGGCAAATTAACTTAAAGACATCATGCTATGACAGTTTCTGCTGCTTGATTCAAAAAGTTCTCATTGTCTTTGACTAATCAACAGGAGAAGTCTGTCTGGTATGATATAGCTTACTGATTTCTGAGTTCTTGGACAGAGTTTTTAAAAATGAGACACTGAATTGCCTCTTATCAGTCTTTATAAAGCTACTTTTGCTAACACACCTTTCGGAGTTGCTTCACTGCAGTAACTAAGTGGAGACTAGAAGCTTCTCTGTGCAGACACCCAGCTATCTTCTATCTTAACCGACATGTTAGGCTTTTAGGGAACATGTGTAAATTGTAGCGTCTGTCGATCAGCAGATATTCAGCCTGACAAGTGTTTCATCTCTCATGTAGGAGATGCCTTGAATTCAGATGAAGAAGAACCGTATTTTAAGTCTCATTTTGATGCTGATTTGTACATTAGCAGGAAGGTAACACAACATTTATTATGTTAACGTGAAATAAAAATGTCTTTAAAATCAATGAATGATTGGGATAAATGGACCACTTGCGAGCTCAGTATTGATCTAATTGTGATTATTGTTTTGGCTATAATCAGTTAGTTGTATGGGAACATCTCAGCTGCAGAAAGAATGATGTTGACCAAAAACAGGCACTCTGACGGCACCGTCTTCCCAACGTGTCTCATTCGTTTAACCGGCGACGCCAGCAAACCCAGATCTGATCGCCACCCAAAGCAAAGAACTACTATTTGTGCCTTAACCAGTGTTAAACGATATAAAAAGGCTTTAAACAGTTCACATTTAAAAAAAATACAAAATTCTACGCAGATGTGCTCCCCTGCAAAATCACCACAATAATTCCAGAATGATTAATTCTTTCTAAATAAATGTATTTAAGTCATCTGGTGAAAATTCTTTCATTTTGTCATATTGTTATATGATCACAGAAAAGTAAAATATCACCATGTACATTTTTTTTTTACAATATGGTGCAGCCCTATGCACACCATCAAAAGTTTTTAGTTCATAAAATTAATGTGGCCCCCAAAGAATCCAGTATTGGATATTAGCTATGTCAAGTTTGACCTTTTAATTGTCTACATACGATACTGTGTATTTCAGCCAAATGATAAGTTGCTCTAAGTGTGTTATGAAAACTAAGTTTATGTTTGTTGAGTGACTCACCTTTCTCAAGAAAAAAAAAAAAAAAACATTTAGAGAGAAAATTCTGAAGTTTAAAGTTGGTGTTTATTGGGATTGTACTGTATTATCAGGTGTTCCAGTTTTCTGTCTCCTCCTGTATAAACAAAAAGTAGAGACACAGCCCTAGAAATGAAAACACAGCTTGAGAGACATTGAGCGCTACAACTCGTTCCAGTCTGTTGCATTACAGTCTGACAGATTTCATCACCCTCAGAGCTTGTGAAAGGCCATTATGAAAAGTCACATTTTCTCGTGTATTTATCACACGATGGAGCGGGGATATCATCAGCAGCCTCCACCTCTCTGCCCAGACACAATAGGCCTGGCCAGCATCCCTGTGCCAGGCCTCTCTGGTCCTGGTGCCAGCCTTCCCTCCCCTCCCAGCGCCTCCCGCCACCGCCGGCACATCTGGCTCGTTTATCACTCTGGCAATGCCCTCCTCTGCTGCCCCAGTCACGGTTATCTTGGCAGGGAGCTCGTTACGAGCTGGGCCCAGCCGTGGGGGCAATCATTTCCTCGATTATGAGCCAGACGTCTCGGGACGCATGGGAAAACAAAAGGGAGAGGGGCATCGAGAGAGGGAACGAGCGAGCGAGAGGGAAACTTTGCTCTCACTTCCTTTCCTTTATCTGTTTTTGCTCGTTTATCACCCACGGTGCCCTAAAAGCACTCTGGGAAAGGAGAAGCTGGCTGCTCCTGTGTCATATTCTACCAATCAGTTGAATGGGATGTCAGGTGGAGAGACTGCAAAGATACGTGGAAGGGAACAATGCGGCACATATTTTTCAATTCAATCAACATTTTTTTTTTTCCCTCCCAAATGAAGCTGAAGAATGAAAAATCCTCGGCATCACCTGGCTGCTGCCTCACAGCAGCCACAAACAATAAGGAAATGCAAATTGGCTCCGGTGCAGCAGAGGGGGCAGATGTGTTTCGACCAGCACTCCATTTCTCATCCTATTAACTCCCTAATCAGATCGAGATGAGATTTCAAATGGGACTAGGTAGGACAGAGCGAGTTAGAAGGTGATAGATGAAGACAAAGGAAGGTGTGGTGATTGCACTGCAGGCTACTGAGAAAACAGATTGAGTGCTATATCCCAGGTTTACAGGAACATAATGTCTTTGTTCTTTCCACTCTTGCTTTGTCATTGGCAAAAACAAACATGTTGATGAATGAGGCTCCGGGTTTTAGATAGGGCCCAGGAAAATAGTTTGGTTTTGTTGGTATAAGGAAAGCCGAAACTGTGAAAACTTTGGCATGCAACATAGATTTCACTGAATGGGGTTTGTTCAGATGTTGGTCTGGGATTTTAAGAATTTACTTGATTGAAAAACACAGATGTCAGTGATTATACCTTTCAGATAAATCCAGAGAGTGAAAAATAGGACTGGATTAGATGGTAGGAGTTTTTCTCACTCTCCTTAATCCTCTACAGTCCACACCTTTTTGAATTCCTGACTGCAACTTCAATGCGTGCACCTGGAGCCCAATGAAAGATGACAGGTAGCGTTTTAGCCGAGGCACACGGACAATAGAGGGATTTGATGGTGTCCTTACCAGTTTGCAGTTCAAGTGTTACGGACTCCTCCTCCTCATTTGTCTCAATGAGCGCTGCAGACACACAGATTAAGTTCAGTGTAACCATCTGACGGTTTGATGAATGTTGTGCCAATTATCCTGTAGCAGAAGCAGTCGGCTGTGAAATGATGGCCTCTGTTACGAGTTCCGCTGCGTGCTCTTTATTTCGCATGCATTCCTGTGGATGTTGCAAAGCCAGAAGCAGTTTTGTTAGTCTCCTGAGGCTTTCCAAGTCAGAACCAGTAAAACTTCCTTACTTCAGCCTGAACACCACCTGTTTAGAAGTAGATGTGCGCTGCTCAGATTTGACTGCCATTCCAAATTGCTTTGCTGTGCGTTTTGCTCTGTCTGGGTTGGGGGGTGAGTTGCTGCCCCGAGGGAAGGAGTTTAAGTATCTTGGGATCTTGTACACCAGTGATTGGAAAATGGAGCGTGAGATGGACAGATTGGTGCAGCGTCAGCAGTAACGCAGGCCGGACTGTCCCGGTGAAGAAGGATCTGAGCATTCCAACCTTCATCTATGGTCATAAGGTCTGGGTCATGACCTAAAGAATGAGATCGCAGATACAAGTGGCCAAAAGGGGTTTCATCTGGAAGGTGGCTGGGCTGAGTTTTAGAAATAGGTTAAGGAGGTCGGACATTCGGAGGGAGCTCGGAGTA